CGTTGAAAAAAAAAAAATAAAAAAAAAAAAAAATGGGAGTGGGGCACCTGGGTGGCACAGTTGGTTGAGCATCCCACTTCAGCTCAGATCGTGATCTCACAGCTTGTGAGTTCAAGCCCCGTGTCAGGCTCTGTGCTGACAGCTTGGAGCCTGGATCCTGCTTCAGATCTGTGTCTCCCTCTCTCTCTGCCCCTAACCCACTCGCATTATGTCTCTCTCAAAAGTAAATAAACATTAAAATAAAGTTTAAAAAAAGAAAAAAAGGTTTGCCTCTGAAGAAAGGAGTGAGCAGTTGCCTGGTTGGCTCAGTCAGTTAAGCATCTGACTTGAGCTTTAGGTCATGATCTCATGGTTAGTGAGCCCGAGCCCCACCATGGGTGAGCCCTGCTTCTCTCTCTCTCTCTCTCTCTCTCTCTCTCTCTCTCTCTCTCTTCCTCTCTCTCTGCCCCTCATGGGATTCTTTCTCTCTCTCGCTCCGCCCTTGCTCATTTGCACTTTCAAAAAAAAATGAAGAAAGGAGTGAGCAAGATCAATATATGTGGAGTGGTAGTGTGGAGGGGCGGGGTGGTACCCTTAGGGTTGTGGGGAAAATTTGAACATGTATAATTGCGGAATGAGTAGAGGGAGAGGGTCAGAGAGACACAGGAAGGATAGTTGATGGCTCAAAGTCCTGTAGAAGGTAGGAAGACTCCAGTCCCAGGTGGAGGTATTAAGTGTAGAAGGATCTGTCTCCACTGGAATGAAAATGAAGGAGGGGGCGCCTGGGTGACTCAGTCGGTTAAGCATCCGACTTCACCTCAGGTCATGGTCTCGTGGTTTGTGAGTTCAAGCCCTGCATCGGGCTCTGTGCTGACAGCTTAGAGCCTGGAGCCTGCTTCAGATTCTGTGTCTCTCCATCTGTCCGCCCCTCCCATGCTCATGCTCTGTTTCTCTGTCTCTCAATAATAAATAAATAAGGAAGGAAGGAAGGAAGGGGAAAAGGAAAAGGAAAATAAAGGAGACAAGGAGGGGTAGTAATGCAGATGAGTGAAATCGGGGGCCAAAAGTTAAGAGATGTCCTGCCTAAGGCTTTAGGAGAGCAGTGAAGGTTTGAAATAACTGCTGTGAAGAATGAGTGGGAGCCAACTAGAAACCCATGGGAGTTTGGGTGTAGGCAGGTGCTGTGGGCCCAGCTGATGTAGTTCTGTACTGGCACTAGGCCACAATATCAGTACTTGCAGGAGTATTCTGCAGCTGGCAGGTGAGCACAGAGCACAGGGTTGTTAGGGTTTTGCTTTATGGGTGACCACAAGTTTTGATGAAGACCAGTAGAAAAGCGAGTAGATTTGGATACGTTCATTTGGAACTTTTAGTGAGGCTGACAAGAGTCTCTGGGGAGAAGGAGAAGAGACTACTGGGAAGGTAGAAAGTCCTAGTTTGGGAAGAAAAGAATTGTGCTTAAGACAGAGGTAGCAGGGTTTTTTGATCATTCCAAGGCTCAAAGACTGGACAAAGCCCTAAGGTGTGGGTGGCTGAAGGGGAAAAAAGGAGAAGGTACTGGTATGTAGGAACTGCAGGAACTGGATGAGTGAGTGGTGGAGGTGGAAGGAACTAACTAGACTGTGTCAGTACATGGGGCCAAGAGGAAGACTGGGTGAGGATTGCCGTTTCTGAGGGAGTAAGTCATGGTGATCAGAAGTGATCAGTGAAAGGGTGAGGGATGTGTGGGTTCGTGGTTCAGGCCTAGCAGCCTGAGATGGGAACAGGCCACTGCTCCTCATGGGATCTGGAGGCACTTTGGGGCTGATGCAGTGTCTGTAATTTCATCATACTGGCAGATTTTAGTACCGTCTGGCCCTTTACAGAAAAATTTGCCAGTTCCTGGTTTAGGTAAAGAAATTAAACAAAATCATGAAATTATTATGAAACAACGTAGTGACAGCTTGAACTTCTCCATGCGTAAGAATTTTGTGTGTATTTGGAAAATATTTGGCAACTTAGTAAAAGATGGATTTGAGTTGTAGAGTTTCCTTAGTTGGGAATGAGTGCCAGCCATGAGAAAATGATCTGGAGAAATGTTAGCCATGGAAGTGAGGCTAGGAGAGCTAATTCCATAACCACTTAGTTGCAGTGGTTGAAGGAGAAAAGAAGCAGACCTCCAAAGGCCTTGATCAACTCTTTTAGGAAGCAGTTTATTACCACATTTAGGCAGTCTTGAAAGTACTCATGAACATTTCTTCTCTTGAGAATTTATCATATAGAAATAATTGATAGAAGGAAAAAAGTAACGTGCCCAGGAGTATTGATTGTAACAGTATATGCTGACAGGACATTTGGAACAGCCTAAGTGTCCAGAAGTAGGGAGCTTGTTAAGTAAATTATGGTACATTGAATTGATGAAACAGGATAGAGCCATTAAACAAATAATTATAAAGATTGGAAAAGAATGTAGAGAATTGACCTGGAGCTGTAGAAGTTACACATACTATGTTGAACTATGTGAAGTTGACAATGTATGGACAAAAATGACTGCAGAATCAATGGGGGAAATAAAAATGGTTTATTATGTTAGTGGGATTTGAATTTTTTTCTTCCTGGTATCCGGTATTGTTAAAATGCTCCCATAATAAATACATTTGCAAGGGCTAACAGGATGGACTGCACCCATGTCACTCTAGGATGAATCACCTAGCAGCTCCAGCAGCTTTTATGTCACACAGCCATGTGGCTAGTGAGTGCACAACTGCAGTCTACTCAAGTATTCATTAAATTTTAAGGTATTTTCCTTAAAAAATAAATATAAATATAAAAAATATTTTTCCTTATGGAATTTTATGAAAAATTTCACACATGCACAAAAATAGAACACCTAAATAAAATACCCATAATCAACTATGATGCCCCTGTCACACATAACGAAATTAGTAATAATTCTTTGGTATCACCTAATAACTAGTCTATAATCAAATTTTCACAGTTGTGGCTCTAGCTGTGTTGGCCATCCTTTTAGCTGACTTCACAGTTAAATCAGGGCGACTAACCATCCCAGGTTTCCCAGGACGCTGGGCTCTCAGTACTAAAACTGGGCAAACTGAAATATTTGGTCATCCTACACTAAGCAGCAGACTATGAGGTTAGTAGGTTGGTTACATGTATTTCTTCCTCACTATCCAAGTGTCTTCTCCTAGAACTTCAGATTCAGTCAGAAGGTAAATTGTTTATTACTTGGTCTGGGAGCCTGTGCTGTGAGAATATCACAATGAAGAAGTATAAGAGTTTCTCTCTTTAGTGAGCTCTCTGTCCAACCAAAGGATCAAAACCATTAGAAATAAAATCAAAGGTTAAGTGGTATGATCCAAAGAGAGGACTTAGAGAAAGTCAGGGTGAGGTCAGATTAATTGGAGACTCAAGATCAAATTGAGCCTTGAAGATTGGTTAGAATTTATAAACTAAGCAAATTCATAACGTAAGTATGACTTTGTGTCTGCTCAGTAGAATACATGTTGGGGATAAAAAGTTGTATCTAAAATGCTGTTTGGATCTCTTCCTAGGGGTCTGTCCTCCAGCCTCAGCAGATGAGACTTTTGAGCATCATCTTCAGCGACTAAGAAAACTCATTAAAAAACGCTCTGAATTATACGAAGCTGAAGAGAGAGCCCTCAGAGTTATGTTGGAAGGAGAACAAGAAGAAGAGAGGAAAAGAGAATTTGAAAAGAAACAGAGGAAAGAAAAAGAGAAAATTTTACTTCAGAAGCGTGAAATTGAGTCCAAGTTATTTGGGGATCCGCGTAAGTTCTTTTGTAACCAGTGGAGAAAAGGAAGATGCTAGATTGGCAGCTCTTTCCCTAATGGATGATCTCAACCTAAACTAAGGTGGTAGGCAGCAAATGAAACCTTTGAGACTTAAAATTCTGAACTGTGTACTGGAAATCATGGATAAAGATGAAACATATGATCTCATTGTTGTACTGTCATAGTCATAGGTTCATTCAGCTTGCCTCTAGGTATGAGACATGATGATGTGGTAATGTGCCTTTTCTTTTTCAGATGAGTTCCCACTTGCACACCTCCTGCAACCCTTCCGACAGTATTACCTCCAAGCTGAGCACTCCCTACCAGCACTCATCCAGATAAGGTCAGAGGGGCACTCTTCATGCCGCCTTCCCCTTAGATAGCAAGAAGCACTTACAGTGTTTATTTTGTTGAGGTGTATTGCTTTTTCTTTTTTTAGGTTCCATACAGGTTTATATGCCACATAAATCTTGTTTAGTCCTCAGTCCTTGAGAAATAAATGACTCTTTTAACAGGTGAAGAAACTGAAACTCAGGTGTGACTTGCCCTTTGTATTATCTCATGCTGTAGTTGTTACATTGACTTAAAGCATCGGCTTCCTTTTCCTAATTCTCTTCTGCTGCTAAATAGACCAAGGGAGAGAAACTCTCCCTATCTACTTGCCTGTGGAGACTGATTAAGTCCCAAACTGACTTGTGAGTTCTTACAGGTCGAAGCCAAGAGAGCTAGGAACAGGGGATCTCATCTTAACCTGCAGTTATTAATGAGCTGGGTAGAGTTTTCAACTCTTCTGGGTCTCACTTTCCTCACCTATAAAATGAAAATGGTAGACTGGAATGTGGCCTTCAAACTTTAGCAGTAGTGCTCTTCCCAAAGGTAGTCTTTTGAGAAATCCATTTGTAAAACAGTTTGAATGAATGGGTTCCGTAGGTGTAGACAGTTTAAATCTGTTATTGACTGGAAGCACTTTGTTGTTTCTAGATTCCCCAGAGCATCTGCTTGGGGCCTAGTGGTCCTCAAAGCCTGGTTTGACAATCACTGAACTAAGTGATCTATCAGGTTCCTTCCAAAGCTCTAATGATGGTTATTAGCATACCAAGTTTGTGTTCTGGGAAAAGTATATTTCTGGTTAATATATAAGTTTTAGCTTTTATTTATTTATTGAGAGCAGGGGAGGGGCAGACTGGGGTTGGGGGGGGGCGGGGGTAGAGGTGTGCAGGGAGAGAGAATCCCTAGCAGGCTCTGCACTGTCAGTGCAGAGACGGACGTGGAGCTCTATCCCACAGACTGTGAGATCATGACCTGAGCTGAAATCAAGAGTCAGACGCTTAACTGACTGAGCCACCTAGGCACCCCCAAGTTGTAGCTTTTAAATATAAGTACAGTTGATTCTCATTATTCACGGTAGTCATGTTCTATAAAAGCTGCAGTGTTGAATTAGGGAATGCCAAATTCTGTTCCTAAAGGAAATACAGGGTTTGGTTCCTGTGAGCCTCGGACCACATTTTCATGAACCAATCAATACATAACATTGTTTTATGTGTATTTCTTTTAAAAAACACTTTGTTTAATATATATTGTCGATTCATTAACACTGAACTCATAGTTAACAGCATTATAACTCCTGCCTCAACATAGCTTTTCTAATATACATGTACTCTCTGTAAGGCATATTCCAGCCTTCTCATTCTAGCTAGTACTGCAACAGTATACTTAGGGGCCATCTTAAATAGCAAAATAACCAATAAAAGCACAAATATGTGAAAAATGCAGTACTAAATACACTGCAAAAAGGACACTTTACAATATGAGGCTGAAAACAGTGTCACCTTATTTGACTTCAGCTGGGAATGTACCTGTCCGTGACTTAGATTTTTCATGGCTTTGCATGTTGGCAAGTGACCATGCAAGCACCACAAGTAACGATTATGAAATTACACATAAATTTTAGTGAATAGGCAAATTTGCGATTATGGAACCTGCAAATAATGAGGATCAACTGTATATTTATTATTGGGTTACCCCTAAAATCATAAGTTGTTTGCAGTTTTTTCCCCCTTTATGTGTACATTTAAGAAATACTGTCCTTAGCATAATGCCTAGAAATCAAATTCTTGAGTGGACTGGTACATCAGTCATTTGAAAGCTAAGTCCTGAAATAGAGTATTTAGTTGCTGAACATCTTGCTTGGAATAAAACAAATAAACAGTTGTTCTCCAATGTTCTTATTAAGGCATGATTGGGATCAGTACCTGGTGCCATCTGATCATCCCAAAGGCAACTCCGTTCCCCAAGGATGGGTCCTTCCCCCGCTCCCCAGCAACGACATCTGGGCAACAGCCATTAAGCTGCATTAGTAAAGATGCTCCAGAAGTGTGGTCCGGCCAAGGCTCTTTCCAGCTCTAAATACTAGTGATGCCACCATCTTCTCGTGCTATAGACTAAACCACAACCTCTAAACTCCATGTGGCATTGTTCCACCCAGAAGTTACGTTTTCCTTGAGTGCTCTGTCCTGGCCAGAGATGCCTCTTGAATCAGGAGATTAATATGTTTCTTCAGGAAAGGACCTAGGTGAACTGGGGTTATTACCACAGAAAGTGACCTTGGTTCACCGAATTTGCCTCTGTTTTGAAGGGGCTTGGTTCAGAGTGACTTGTTAATTTACTCTTTAACTTCTTGTGTGGTGATGGGTAAGTACACTGCATACACTCAACACAAATGTGCATTGGGTAGACTTAGCCCTTCCCCCAGTACTGAGTGTGAAGGCAAGCTTTGATGTAAAACCTCTTTACCCTCCTTACCCAAAGAACCCTCTCACTTCTAGGAGGAAAGGTCAGAAATGCTTTATCTATGGTTTTATGAATCCCACTTTTGGTGCAGCTTGAGAGGCTACAGACTGGGCTGCCAGAAAAGCTCATGGCCTAGTCTGGTAGTCATGTGGAGAACTTGGAAAATCTGTATCCATATTGGATCGTGTTTTAATGGATAATGGCTGCATCTTCCCATGTTAGAAGGATCCTAACAAAAACACGTGTTATTTAAGTTCCTGAAGATCTAGTTGTTCAGAATCCCCAATGATAGAAATTTATCTTAACCTCCCTCAGTCACATTGTAGGGGCCGGTATAGCTGTGGAATTTTCTTAGGAACTCAAACTTTCAAAAACACCCATGTAGTTAAAGCTGGGAGGAAACCAGATAAAAATAATAAAATTTATTTTTTTATATTCATTAATAAATGCTATTGTGCCTGGGAATGATCAATCATAACATGTCAGGGTTTTTGTTTTGTTTTGTTTTGCTCTTTGTCATTTATTGTGTTATTTATATTTCCGAAAAGCTAAATAAATATCATTTTTATTTTTTAGTTTGAGCCTTTGCCCCCAAATTTGTTGCCTACCAAATCACTACACACACTTTAACGTGAATGAAACACATTTTCACTCCAAAATGCAAACTTGTCAAATAGACATTTGCTAGGAGAAGGTGAATCTCCAGCACCAAACTTTGTGGAATCCAACTCTGGATAAGCAGGAAAGGACAACAACCTTGGAAATGATTGCATGTAGTTGGAAGTTCTGGGGTGCAAGATGCTAACACCTTTGTTCTTTTTCTGTTTAAGCTGCATTGTTAAATTTATATATTATGCGCTTCAGAGTTAACAGATAGGATATGAAGGCCAGCGCTCCAAAGTGTGTGTCTAAGCTCATATACCTTAAAATCTGTTGTGATTAGCCTCACATAACCCCCATAGGCCTGTGTGCCCTTTTATAAATCCCCACCATTTGCTGTCTGATGAGATGTAGGAAGAGTAGAAATAAAAGATGAATTGTATGATGTGTTCAGTGTGCAGGCAGCCTTGTCACTAAGACATCTGCATCGATGGGGGCATGAGTGTGAAGCAGGGATTCAGGAAAATAGGCAGCAGAACCCAAGAGGAAGAGATTTAACCTCAGGTGGAAAAAAGCCTTCCCTCTTTCATTCAGCTTCTGCAAAGTTTTAATAAAGTAAACATTATTTTTATTGTTTGGCTTTGTTTTGTAAGTTTTTCCTCGTTTACCACCTTGCATGGTGGTGGTGGCAACAGCCACTGGTACTTGATGGGTTTAGAAAGACATAGAGTAGTGCCTGATGAATTGTACTTCTGAGAATATGGACAGTGTCATTGTAATCTTTTCCTCCCAAAAATCTTTTATTGTGGAAATTTTCAAGCATCCGAAAGTAAAGAGAATAGTATAATTTTTTCCGTATATCCATCATCTGGCTTCAGATAATTGTCAACTTATGGCAAATCTTGTTTCATCTGCAACCCACTACTCTATAGACTATTTTGAAGCAAATCTCAGACATCATATTAATTAAGTATTTCAGTATGTAGGGCTCCACTCTGGGCATAGAGTCTTCTTAAAAATTTTCAGTATGTGGCTCTAAAAGATATTTTAAAAATGTAACCATAGTGCCATTATTGCACCGAAAGAAATGAATGACTTCTTGATATCATCAAATTCCCAGTGTTCAGATTTCCTTATCTCATAAATGTGTGTTTTACACTTGGCTCAAATTAAGATCTAGGTGCAGTCTATACACTGTTGTTGGTTGATATGTTTCTTAAATTTCTGAAAATCCATAGGTCTTTCTTGCTTCCTCCTGTGTACTCTTGTACTCTCTCTCCCTTGAGATTTATTACTTGAAGAAATTTTTTTCCTAAAGTTTCCAGTCTGAATTTTGCTTATTGCATCCTTGTGATAGCATGTTCCTCTGTTTCCATATCTCCTATAATTTAGTGGTTAGAGCTGCATTGCCCAGTATGGTAGATATGTATCACTATTGGGCACTTGAAAGAGAGTTTGAAATGGAGTTTGAATTGAGTTGAATAATTACACCTATGGATCACGTTTCTATTGGACAGCACTGATTAAGAGTGCACACATTTTTTGACCACCTACAGATTGGAGTTTTCTGAAGAATATATTATACACCTGGTGTATACTCCATTCAGGAGGACTAATGTCTAGTTGTCTATTTTTGTGATCTTAGCAGCCACTGGTAGTCAAGACCTAAAGTCATTCCTTTGGAGTTGCAAAATAGTGGTAGTTTAATTCTGCCTTTCTTTCTTTAGTTATTAGCTGGAATACTTCTTAAAGGGGAAACATCCCCTCATCAACCATTTGGTTACTGCAGGGTACAATTGGTACAGGAAAGGCAAATACATATTTTTTTTATTTACTAGTTTTCAAATTAATGAGCTGGTTCCCTAGAATGCTCCAAAGGTAACAAGTGAGTTTTATTTTGAAGTGTCATTATGAACTCAGATCTAACCATAATTGTCTTTCAACCCATTGTTATTATTTATCAATTGTCTCATCTTTGGCCACTGGGAGCCTTTTTTTTTTCAAAAATTTTTTTTAATGTTTGTTTATTTTTGAGACAGAGACAGAGCATGAACGAGGGAGGGTCAGAGAGAGAGGGAGACACAGAATCTGAAGCAGGCTCCAGGCTCTGAGCTGTCAGCACAGAGCCTGACGCGGGGCTCGAACTCACGGACTGTGAGATCATGACCTGAGCCGAAATCGGCTGCCTAACTGACTGAGCCACCCAGGTGACCCTGCTGGGAGCCTTTTTAACTCAGTTTCTGAATTCCCTTTCAATTCCAGTGTTCCATTCCAAATTTGTTTTACATATTGCCTATTCCAAACCTGGAAACAGTCATTTATCTAATGATAAATTAGTGGAAAAGGTATTTATAGGCCATAATCTGCATGATAGGGGTGGTCATTGTTATTGCTGCTTCTTGTTTGTTGGTTTTTATGCTTTTCAGTCAGAACTAGGAATTACAGTTCCCTTGAGCCATCAGCCTTTTTCTAAATCATGCCTTTTTTATACCTATATTCTTTTTTTTTAATGTTTATTTAATTTTGAGAGAAAGAGAGAAAGAATCCTAAGCAGGCTCCAAGCTGCCAGTGTAGAGCCTGATGCAGGGCTTGAACCCACGAACCACGAGGTAATGACCTAGGCCGAAACCAAGAGTCGACGCTTAACCCACTGAGCCACCCAGGCACCCCTGTACCTATGTTCTTTTTATATTGAACATAAATTAATGAAAATAGAGAAATAAACTCATTCAAAGATGAACCAGAAATGTGTTGATTCATCATGTCCTGTATATACAAGAATATTGTTTATCTTATTTCCCAAAAGAGGAGACCCTGGGTTGGGAGATACTCTAACAAAAAGCATTTATTTTAAGAAATTAGGTAAATACAAGAAAGATTAAAAAATGAAATAGATTAGTTGTATGTTAAATACTAAGTGTTCTTAGTGGCTGAGTTTATGACGTCAACGAATTTGCTACAAGCCAATGAACTTAATCACTCTATAAACCCATTCATGTTCCTATGTCCATGTGACTTGGGCAAGAGTGTATCAAGAAGCTTAGACAGCATTATACCATCTGCTGTAGCAATTCACTTCTACATATTTTGTCCACAGGGGAGCTATCCTGGGAATCACAAGGTAAGTACAAAGTATGTCTTGTTCCATTCAAATAATATAGAATATATAGAAGGAATGTGAGTGCTGTGAAGTATTAGCAGTGATTATTTTAGGGACTAGTGACTACATGAGGCATTTCCAACTAAATCTGTTTTTTTTCTTTTAATGCTATAACCAATAAACTATTCCTGTATAATTGTTAACTTTTTTTTTAAAAAAGTGTGAGTAATTACTACACACAACGTGGGGCTCAAACTCATGACCCCAAGATCAAGAGTCATGTGCTCTTCCGACGAGTCAGGTGCCCCTGTTAACTTTTGGGTGTACCCATACAGTAGTTCCTGACTTAGTCTGGCTATCTATGAAGATTTTGTTTCCAATGCAGGTTCTGTTTGCCTTTTGGAATAAACTGAGTTTCTCACAGTCTCTGGAGCAAGGATCGAAGTCTTTGAGGCAGTTGGTGCTAGAGCACATAACTATACAGAGCAGTAGGCACCTCTCAACTTATTTAGCTCATGCTTGCCAGAATATGGATTCTAGGACTTGAACTGTGTTCTTAGAAAATGGTTTTTACCATTTGCCAGGAATGATACTAAGTGCTAGAGATGTGAAAGGGAGCAAAAAGACAGGATTCTTGCCCTCCTGGAATTAGATCTAGAGTAGAAAAGCTTAAGAATACAGATAATTAGTTGTGATATGCGCTACAAAGAAAAAGTGGTTAGTCATCATTTATATTTTCCATTGTTCAAATATTTATTAAATGCCTGTTGAAACTCAGATTAATTTGCTAAGTATAAGGGCTATAATGGTGAGGGGGATAGGTTAATATCCAATTAATGGATCCAGCAATCAAAAAATGTACTGAGTGCTTTGAAGGAAAGGTAAATGGTTCTATGAGATTAGGCCTTTTTTTTTTTCCTTTTTTAATGTTTATCTATTTTGAGAGACAGAGTGCAAGTGGGGGAGGGGCAGAAAGAGGGAGACACGGAATCCAAAGGAGACTCCAGGCTCCAGGCTCCTAGCTTTCCGCACAGAACCCCCCGACACAGGGCTCAAACCCACAAACTGCAAGATCATGACCTGAGCCAAGGTAGGATGCTTAACCAACTGAGCCACCCAGGCGCCCCCAGGCCCTTTAAAGTCTTAAAAGCCACTGTACTGGGTAGATCTACCCAAGTTTGGGGTGGGGGGGGGGGGGGGATCAGGAAAAGCTTTTTTTTTTTTTTTTTAATTTAAATTGTAATTAGTTAACATACTGGCTTCAAGAGTAGAATTCATTGATCACTTACAACACCCAGTGTTCATCACAAATGCCCTCCTTAGTGCCCATCACCCATCTAGCCCATCTCTCACCCACCTCCCTCCATCAACCCAGAGTTTGTTCCCTATCATTATGAGTGTCTTGTGGTTTGTTTCCCTCTCTTCTCTTTTTCCTCCCCTTCCCATATGTTCATCTGGGTTTTTTTTCTTAAATCCCATATATGAGTGAAATCATATGGTATTTGTCTTTCTCTGATTGACTTGTTTAGCTTAACATAATAACATTCTAGCCTCATCCACATCATTGCAAACGGCAAGATTTCTTTCTTTTTGATGGCTGAGTAATATTCCAGTGTGTGTGTGTGTGTGTGTGTGTGTGTGTGTGTGTGTGTGTGTGTATGTGTGTGCACGTGCGCACGTACCACTTCTTTTTTATCCGTTCATCAGTTGATGGACATTTGAGCTCTCTCCATAGTTTGGCTATTGATGTTACTGTAAGCATCAGGGTACATGTACCCCTTCAAATCAGTATTTTTGTATCCTTTGGGTAAATACCTAGTAGTGCAATTGCTGAATTATAGTGTACTTCTATTTTTAGTTTTTGGAGGAACCTCCATGCTCTTCTCCAGAGTAGCTGCACCAGTTTGCCTTCCTACCAACAGTGCAAGACAGTTCCCCTTTTTCTGCATCCTTGCCAACAACTGTTGTTTCTTGTGTTGTTAATTTTAGCCATTTTGACAGGTGTGGTGGTGGTATCTCATTGTGGTTTTTATTTGTATTTCCCTGATGATGGGTGATGTTGAGCATCTTTCCATGTTTCTGTTAGCCATCTGAATGACTTCTTTGGAAAAGTGTCTATTCATGTCTTCTGTCCATTTCTTAATTGGGTTATTTGTTTTTTGGGTGTTGAGTTTGATAAGTTCTTTATAGATTTTGGATACTAACCCTTTATCAGATATGTCGTTTGCAAATATCTTCTCCCATTCTGTAGGCTGCCTTTTGTTGATTGTTTCCTTCACTGTGCAAAAGTTTTAATCCTGATGAAGTCCTAATAGTTCATGTTTACTTCTGTGTCCCTTGCCTTCAGCGACAAGGTAAGGGAGACAAAACTTCTAGTAAGAAGTTGCTCTGGCTGAGGTCAAAGAGATTGCTGCCAGTGTTCTCTAGGATTTTGATGTTTTCCTGTCTCACATTTAGGTCTTTGATCCATTTTGAATTGATTTTTGTGTATGGTGTAAGAAAGTGGTCCAGTTTCATTCTTCTACATGTAGCTGTCCAGTTTCACAACAGCATTTGTTGAAGAGTCTAGGAAAAGCTTTTCTGAGGAGATGATGTTTCAGCTAAGCTATGAGGCATAAACAGCTATTCACTAGTGCAGAGGAGACACGGAAGAAGAATGTGGCAAGAATTTGGAATAGAATATGCAAAGGCCCTGTGTTGGGCTAAGAGACCAAGGCAATTGAAGACTAGCATGGCTAGAGTAAGACAAGAGGGAAGGGGGTAGGGGCCAGACACTGCAAAGCTTTGGAAGCCCTTGTCAGGAGTTTGATTTTTATTCTGAGAGAGCTGGGAAGCATTTGGGGCTTCTAAGCAGGGGATTGGCTTAGTTTGCTGTTTTGAAATGATCACTTTTGTCCCAGTGTGTGAAACAATTACAATGATAGGGCATAAGAGGATATGTTGAACACAGTTGTCCAAGTGAGAGATAATGGGGGCTTGGACTCCCATGTTAGCAGTGGAGGTAGCGTGAAATGGGTGGATTTCAGAGATTTAAGAGAGGAAACTTGGCAGGGATATGAGATGAGTGGTTGTGAGGGAGAAGAGAGTGTCAGGCATGAGTCCTCAGTTTGTATATCTTAGACATTCCTTGAGACAAGAAATTCTGGGGAGGAGGAAAAGTTTGGGGGAGGGGAAATCACGAGTTCACTTTAGATATGTAGAGTTTGAGGCACCCTTGAGAAATCTTGGAGGAGATGCCTTGTAGGCAGTGGTGTTTATGAATTTGATCTCTGAGAAGAAGTGCAGAATTTAATATGAGTCATTGGCACATAGATTATTGATGCTGTGGGCAAGGATGAAGTCATTTAGAGTATAGTGGAGACCTTTATAAAAAATAATGCTTACGTCAGTGCCTGGGCTCCAGGTAGACCAATTACTACAACCCCCACTTGCCCTGCCTCTCACCCCTAGGCTCAGATGCAGCCAGACAGGCACAGACCCATGGAGAGGTCCTGGATTATAGCCTGCTGAAGCATGCACAGACTGGCCTTCCCAATATCCCCACTTCCCCATCCTCACCCCACCCCACCCCTTCAGATTCATCAAAGCTTTCTCCACTGCCTACTGAATGGAGTCAGTATTCCGTTTTCAGGGCCCTCGCCAGCTCTACCCCAATCTACCCCTTCAGTCTTAATGCAGGCTGCTTCCCAGCACAAACTATCTGAGTCATATGCTTTGTCCCCACCCCCTCCTCCCCCTACCTCTCTCTGCCCTGCCTCTGCTCCCTGACTCAAGCTGTTCCCTCCCTGGAGTTATGCTCTCCACTCTACCTTTAACCTGCTCACAGGCTGTTCCCATACTCTTCAGGATCCAGGTCAGGGTCCTGTCAGGGTCCTTCCTGAAGCTTGCCCAACTCGCATAAGGACTAGAATACTTTCTTTCCGTTGAAGAATATCATCATTTAATGATCTGTACCATTTATTTTATACTTAGCAGGGATGACTGTCATTCTAGAGTGTGCTCTAACTAGATCATGTCTTATACTGTAGCCCTTCCTATTCCTATTTCCAGAATTCTCAAATTCTTAAATTATTCCAGAAACAAGTGTAGAACTGAGTAGAGAATATCTATTAGGATGCAGATGCTGGGTCAGAAGTGAGAGAGGAGGAGGGTGGCCCTGTACCTGCTCAGTGGACAGGCGGTTCACACGTGGGTCTCAACAAAGCTGTGGCCTTTACCCACAGCTCAGAATTCTAATGACAGCTGAAAATGTGGATGATAAATCAGAGAATGCCAAAACTTGCTAACTTTCTTATGTCCCTTACAACTCCTTACGCCTCAGAGGTCCCCTGATGGAACAGGCTGATGGGGCAGATAACTTACTGATCACAATGGGACTTGTCTGATCCTGTAGCATGAAGAGCCGCTCCCAGTGCGCTGGGAGACTGTCTCCTGGCATGGGGTGGAGAAACATTTGGAGTCTTACATACAGTAGACACAGACTAGAGTGGGCAGGCAGTGGAGATGAGGGAATTAAAGGATTTGCCCATCTGGCCTCATTTGACCTCTCTGCACTCAGATTACTTACTCTGTCTCTTCTCATGATCTCCTGTGGGCATGGGGATGACCCCAGTGACCCCTCGCAACAGGGGTTTGCAACATCCTAGTAGGGATGACATTGTAGTAAGCCAGAGATACTCCCTGGTGCAGTCCCTGGTAAATCCTGATTGTTTGCAAAATGCCAGACTGTGATCAGGAGTCTAGATTTAAGTATATATTATAGGCAGTCTCAAGAGCTTGAATTCTTTGTGAGTTTCATTTTGTTAAGAGAACAGAATCTTTAGTTTAAAATACGTAAAAAATAAAATCCCTTGCTGTTGTGAATATTATTAAACTAACAGATACTATACTTGATCTCAGCCAAAAGGCCCAGAAGCTATGTATGAATTAATTTTTCTTAGATTTCAGCTTTAGTAGTAGATACTGTTGACTAATACTAATTTAACTTTCTCAATAGTGCATGAGAGTTCATTCTCATCAATACTTGATATTGTCAGGCTTTTTAAATTTTAACCATTTGTGTGTGTGTGTGTGTGTGTGTGTGTGTGTGTGTGTGTGTGTGTGTGT